CAACATTTATGGGGCAGTTCATTTCAGATTTGTTTCTGATTTGAAATATGTAATTTAATTGAGAGTTCAGCAAGCAGTTTTTGGATTTTAGGATTCACCCATTCATTTAGATAGGACTTGGTCTTGGATGCCCGAAATACCTGCCCAGAGGCATTGCAAATATGGCCACTGAGTGAACGGACTTAACTTTGTGGTGGCAGGGAATATGCCACCACCTAGTGGGGGGAAAAGATTTAACACTTAATTATGGAAGACCAAGTGAGCAATGGGATCCTATACGCACTTTCATGAGATCGGGTTAGCCTAACAATTCATTTGTAGGCTATTTTACAAATGGGAATACAACGAATTCATGACAATGTTTTACATTCAAGCTACCCGTAAAATTTATAGTGAAAAGTACTTTAAAAGCATCTGAAATGCAATAAAGTAATTTTAAAGCATTTGCTGCATGGATAAAAAAAATAGGCTAATAAATAACTAACATATCATACATAATTTCATTGCAGCAAATCCTTTAAATTTTAAGGTATTCAGAACAGAGCAACATCAAAATCAGAAAAAAGCAGCTATACAATTATAGGACATAGTGTTGCATATATGCCATTATAATTTGTGGGGGGGTTTTTTTTTTTTTTTTTTTTTCACGCCATCTCGTCATTGGATGTGCCTTTAGAGAGAAATGCACGGATTACATAATGAAAGAGTTTCTATTTTCGATTTGAATTATTTCGTTTTAAAGTAGTAATTTAAAGCATTCTATATATTTTTATCATGTCTGTGAGGCAATTCGCTGAGTTTCGGTTCATCACACACAAATAAAACTAGACCCTTTACAGTTTAGAATGATGAATTACCCTTTCCTTTATGAGCAAAAAAGACTATGTTAAGTTGTTTCCACTATTAGAAAAAAATGCAAGTGACCGCGCTGGCGCCTTCATGTCCTGCAGAGCGCGCTTCAGCTTCCACTCTGCGCACAAACGACTGGATAATATGCATCTAACAGCGCACATTTATCTAGGTTAAACATTTAAACTAACATTGTGATATGCTTGAACTGTTTTATATATAGATTTTATTTTAGGCAAGTCATGATGATTTGAGAACGCTAAATTGATCAAACATATAGGCTACGATCAATTCACTGTCTGCCGCCCGCTGGCCCTTACTTAAAAAAACAACAACTTACATTTAACGAACAAAAAATGCTCAATTTTTTTTTACATTTACTTTATTAAAAAAAACGACACGAAATATAATTACTTTTCCATTACATACAAAACTGAACTACTTTAATAGCTGAAACAGTAGTATAAGCTTTTTTTTGGGGAAAAGGGGAAAACGACGGGCTAGGGCCTATATTTGAGGCCCGTGCAGGGCTCTAATCCACTTCATCCAACGCTGTTTTGTTCTCATCTGTGAGCATGCTCTTGATATATGTATTTTACCATTTTGTTGAGTTTAAAACGTGTGACGCGTGTATTCGTTCTACTCTCACTGATCATTTCAGTGTTCACTGGAAAGTTCACTATTCACACTTGCTTGAACGATAGTTTTACGATTCAGCGGTTCGGTTCAGTTCAGCTCACTCATTGAAAGAAAACAACAGTTTGCTTACCAGTGTTCAAGTGGGAACGGAGGAAAACGGTGTACATCGTCACTCGTAGATGAGGCGCTAAATGACATCCAATGGCAGGGTAAATGCGTCTTATCTGCGTTTGTCCCCGTGATCCTGACAACAACAACTGCAGCTTGACGAGGCCGCAGCAACAGCTGATGGAGGCGAATTGAGAAGACGGCCCTATCTGACGACTCTGTGAACCCTTTTCATACAACCAATGGCATCCACTGCGTTTCACGTTCGTTTGAACAACTGAAACAAAAACTGTGTAAACACAAAGAAAACACGGTAGTATTCATCTCCTACCGCCTTCACGCACAGACATGGCGGAAAACTTGTTCGGTGGTCGCATTTAGCAACAGACTTGTTGGCGCGATCGGAGACTTTAAAGCGGCGTCATGTGGTTCCGAGGTCTATCACGGGTCACGGTCTAAACATAAACTTGTTAACGTTAAACTACCCGAAGACCAACACATTTTTCACCGCATCGCAGCTTTCTTTTTACCAGCTCCCTGTTCACTTTTTCGCGGCACCAGTGACAACAACAATCAAAATAAAAGTCCCCTCTAACAACAGTAGATCCCCTAACGTTACACCTTGATAGGAACGTCACGTGTTGTCAGGTGTGTTCGATTTGAAGCAAAGTACCGCGAGAGCGATTCAAAAGCTTAAAGGGTCCAAGAGGGTCTAGCTCAGAGGTGCCCAAACTCGGTCCTGGAGGGCCGGTGTCCTGCAGAGTTTAGCTCCAACTTGCCTTAACACACCTGCTGGAAAGTTTCTAATATGCCTAGTAAGAGCTTGATTAGCTGGTTCAGGTGTGTCTAACTGGGGTTGGAGCGAAACTCTGCAGGACACCGGCCCTCCAGGACCGAGTTTGGGCACCCCTGGTCTAGCTGCAGCCTCGCACTTGCACTCTCAGACGTGCATTCTCAGGCTTGCACTCTCAGACACTTGCGCTTCCGCTAGCGACGTCACTTGCAGTCTTTTATTTGTTTTTATTTTGTTCTATTTATTGATTACTTTTTGTTATGATGGGAAACGACTGACTGAAGACACAGCTTAATGCTCATTGGTCCAGACAACCGTGATGTTGCGTTCTCTTCTAAAATATTGTATTTTTTATCTGATTTCATGTGATTATGTATTTAAATTATGCAATATTATTCGCAAACATCATGACAGTGCGATCTCTGTGTGAGATATGTGATTGTTGTCATATTTATATAAAAATCTAAAATACATGTTTGTATTAAAACCAGTTAAACTGGTTTTAATAGTTGTTTGCTCTCCAATCGCTCTCGCGGTACTTTGATGTCATAAGCCGATCGGTCTGTGCAGCGTCGCTTCAAATCGAACACACCTGGCATCTCGAAATCATGGTAATTACGATATGGCGTGAACGCACCTATAAACACAGCCCTAAAAATGACCGACTACAGACATGCTGACTGAAACACACCAATGTAGCTAAAGAAAAATTTGTTTCTCTTACAAAATATATGCGTATACAGCTAAACGCGTCTCCGTGTGGACGGGGCCTTAATCGATGAGACAATCAATTACCAAACACATCCGGTCAGAACAGTGGCTTGATGCTGTACCTCGTCTTATAGTTGGTTGGCCACGTGTCACATGTATTATGTCTATGTATACATTACTAGTTGAGCCAAAAGACTAGTTTTATAACCCCGATATTGTAATTCCCTTTATAGTGCAAACCAAAACATGAACTGCTTTTGGTTAAAAAAAAACAAAAAAACAACTAAAAACAATGAGATCTGTGAGTCATGCCTTTGAAGAAATAAACTGAATGTGAATCTCACTGGCAAGGCAACCTATATTAATTTATTGATGAACAGAAACAAGAACTAGCCAATTATTTCCTTAGTCTGAGTGCTTTAAAAAAGCCATTTGAAACATTATAAAGCCGGTGAGCTCATTATCCCCCACCATGTTTGCAAGTTACCTAAAGGGTCTTCCCGTCAAATCACTTGGTTTATTCTCCACAGAGCGTGGTCCCTCGAGATTACAAAATAGGGAGAATTAAATAGAAACAAATTAGGGAGGCCTAAAAGTGTCTCATGGAGGAGTATAATTACCTTTCCGTCACTGAAAGTCATGTACAGCAAAACAACGTGGTTTATCCAGAGGAAATTTTCATTGTCCTTTATGTGACTTTTATGTTTGCTGTAAAAAACCATGGGCCATTTTGGTTATGTAGGCCAATTAGAGACAAACCAGACAAGTGGATGTGTTACACACCAGAAAGAAAGATGAGAATGGAGGTGACCGGAGATACCCGGTGAATTCTGTTGATAGTGATCAGGCAGCTTTCTTAGACATTAAATTCCCTGCAGCATTGCTCAGGCCGGCCACCAAAACAGTAGGGCAAAAGTAACGGTCTGCTTGAACCCAAGAGGATGCTGTTGGGAACACTGGACAACAACAACAGCAGAAGCAGCACTATCTTCTTAGATCAGAGGTCTTAAACTCAAAATACCTAGTGGCCACTAATCAGGTGGTGGACAGTTGAAGACTTACAACAAAAATGGGCTTTTAGGACTATGGATTTTAACTATATACACTTAATGATGCATAGTTAGACCTTTTTCGGAGGTGAGCAGCTCATCTCAACCTCGTACCTAACAGACTGCACTGCATGCTGAATGAAGTAATGATGCATAAGATTGTATTCCTTGAGAACTACAATTTTCTTCTTGCCGATCATGCAGGTAGCATCTCCATTAAGAGATCAGAAATATCATGCTTGCTTTGATGTAACGGTCATAAGTTATTTAAACATATAGGACTAAAATACACAGCAATCAATTCACACATATTTGTATATCATTTTATTTCAGACGGCAAAATAAAACGGCTTGAGTAGCTGCAGTGTGTTGAAAAAAATAGAAATATGCTGTCAGTCAACTGAACCCAAAAAAAGGCTACAGCTGCATATTTATTTTTCCGAATCATTTTAGTTGGATGTTCTAACTTTTTTAACATTAATACAAGTTACATGTTTCAGATGGTTTACACAACATTCAAATGTAACTTTCCCATAATGTTTGCAAAATGTTATTTCAGCCGAACAAATTTTTGTCCCTAGCATCATATTTAGGTACAGTGAGTTCACACTGCTGAAGTATTTACCTGTTGGAGCTAATGCACAGTTTGTATGAAATAGACGCCGACATGGTCGGAGAAGCACAAATTTAAATGTTATGGTTTCAGTCAATGATTTCAGCCCTGTGAAACTGAGAAATTATTTTTTTGTGCTTTTCCAGGTGAGTATTTTTGGTGCATCACTGTATACATTTCTTTTTTTCTGGAGAACACAAAAGAAGATTATTTTGAAGAGTGAAAAGCACTATATGGACAAAAAAAAAGGCATGGAGATGTTTTTGAAAATATCTTATTTTGTGTTCCACATAAGAAAGAAAATCAAGCTGGTCTGGAACAGAATGTTTATGTTTGGGTGAACTATCCCTTTTTAAGAGGGCTACAGGATAAAAGCCCAGACCAGAATTTGAAAATTGATTTGTGGGTCGCATGTATATACTATTAAATTAATGAAGAGCTCTATATCACAGCCAAGGTTTGGTACAGCAATTGTCTCTAGAGTACTAATGGAAATATCTACTGAACGCAGGCAGGCACTTCCAAGTAAACATAGTCATGTAAATAGGCAATGAGTGGGTACTTAAGGAAAAGTCATTGGAAGAACAGCAAAAACAGCATGTCTTACACAAAACTATGTTCACAGCTTGGCAGCCAACTCACAGGTCTGCTTTAAAACAACACTGGCTGTAATGAGTAGCTGTACCTGGGCATGAAAAATGAGCATCTGCTTTTGCAGATAAGGCATCGCTGAGAAAAACTGAAATGTAGCTTTATTTGGTATGTCTGGTGGTGGAGAAAAAATGTAGGATATGATGCATGCTGACTTCACCACAGGGCAGGTGAAGGGGGTGGGGGGGAGCAATGTAAACAGTTGCAATGGAACAACGCTGCCCCCTATTGGAATATTCAATTACGCTCACAATTCACCAGTTTTTCACTGAAACGAATGTAATTAAAAATGTACAGTTGAAAACACTACAGATCATGTATATGTTGAGAAAGTACATGACTGATCTGTTGAAGCAGAAGAAGAAAGTGTTTTGTGATGAGGGGGACACACATATCACCTTCGCTCAGAAGATAGTGCTCAATTCTCCCAGGACAGGAAGTGATCCTGCTGCTTCTGCTCTGAAGTCCATCTCAAGGCATGGACACAGATGGCGACTGCATGGTGCCGATGGAAATTGCGAACCATCTTGCATCCTCGTGCAAACGTAACATCATATGCATATTAACACACATTTTAGAGTTTACACTGAGTTGTCCTGCTGACCTTCTATATCTGCGCTAGGCCAGACTACAGAAATATGGTACGGCTTCAGGTCTTCTTCGGAGACGAAGTCTGGAGCACGACTCATGAGGTCGTGACCTCTGAAGGATTTTGGAAAGGCTATGATGTCTCTGATACTGGGAGCTCCTACAATGATGGACACCAGTCGATCCAGCCCTGTTCAAACGAAAAAAACAGCAATTTTATATTTATTAGGAATGCACAATATATCGTTTCCATATGTATGATGTGTAATGATTTTTTAACTAATTCATTAATGTAATGTGTAATGTTATTACAACTTATTTATTACAAGTTGTATTACAAAAACAAGTCTGAGATCCTGATAATATGCTGATTTGGTGCTCATTTCTTATTATTATTAATGCTGAAAACACAAATATTTTTGTGGAAACTGTGGTAATTTTCTGAATTCTTTGATGAACAGGAAGTTCATCTTTTTAAATCAGAAGTCTTTTGTTACATTATCAATGTCTTTGTCACTTTAGATCAATTTAATGCATCCTTCCTGTATAAAAGTATTAATTGCTTTAGATTAATTAATTAAAAAAAACAACCAAACGTTTGAACTGTAGTGTATATTAAAATATTTTTATAAATATACATTCAATACATTTAATCATGCATGCTCATTCCCTTTATTTTTACATTTGAATGACCCTTTTCATCATCAAATGCTCTTAATTTTAATCTTTAAAAACAATCATTTAATATCACTAAATGTCATCTTTAGAAAATCTCAAAATTAATATACGTTTTTCATACTGTATAATGTTGTGATGCCTGAATTCACTTGTAGCATTTAAAACACCTGATTTTAGTTTTTAGTTATTGAATTTTAAATTACTTACATTTAGTTGACTTTTTTTTTACTCTTTAGATTTTATAATGTAAACAAGAACATGGCAAATGTGTGTATCACAGTTTATGCAAGCTGTAAAAACAGCTCTAGTGCTGCAATACACACAAATAAACCCAAACAGAGGTTCTCGAATGATCAAGGGCACTTCATGCTTCAGTTTACAGTCTCAAGCTGAAACAAAGCTGCCAAAAATTCTTGGCTGGGCAAGCAATTTGAGTTTTTGAGCATGACCGTTCCACTTTAACCAACAGGAGAATGTAATCAACAAGGCCTTTCGGTACCCCAACAACCTTGCAAAAGTCCAAGGTAGCATGTGTTGAATGCACACTCACCTAATGCGATTCCACCATGCGGAGGGGCCCCGGAGTCCAGAGCCTCCAATAAATGGGAAAGGAGTGATGGGTCCTCCTATAACACAAGCAAGACAGAGAAAAAGGACAAAGTGGACCTTAATTCACATCCTTTTCAGCTTGAAAGGGAATTGTTCAGTCTCGGCATGTCTAAATCATACAGATCCATACAACTGCTTTAGTGTCAAGAGAGTAAATAGACCTTCAAAAAGATTTCCTTTGTAGACACAATTTTTAAGATCGACTTGAGCAAAAACACCCTAATGTGGTGTTTCTTCTCCCTGGCTCTTAAGATCCAAAGCATTTGTTTTCTTTAAAGGCAGTTAAATATAGCTTAATGGGTTGCCACAGCGACCGAACGAGTAGTCGGTGGTGCGGAGGTGTTAAGTAAGAGTCACAAATAAGAAAATGGTGCAGTCAGGTATCTGGACACGTCCATTACAAGTGCTTTAACTCGCTGTCAGAGTAGCATTAAATGATGCTCTTTGCCCGCCGTATAATTTTTCACTCTTGTTCCATTACCTTGAGAATTGTGTCCAGGACGTACAGCTGCTGAGAGGCATTGTGGATGCGAATTGAACCTCCTCCGACCTCGCAGCCATTCAGCACCAAGTCGTAATGCTGGCCACGCACCTGAGAGAGCAGATAAACAGGTGGGGGAAACACGTGGAATTCAGAGCAAGATCATACATTTCCTCTATGAAATACTCGGCTCATGAGTGATAAAACTATACAACAGACTATTTCTGGGTATCACCAACTATCTCAGTGTTTTCTAACCACTGTGCCGCGTGACAGGTTGTCAGTTGTGCGGTGGAAAAATAGTCTGGAGACAGATCTCTGCTAGTTCGCAATGCAAGGGTAAATAAAGAACTGATGTTTGAATAGGTACAGCATTTTCTTTACACAAGAAACACTACGTCTATAAAGGTTAATGTTTTTTTGTGTGTGTGTGATTGAAGAGCAGAGAAGAGCATTTGCCATCTAGGTGTAGCTAATATACTGTTTTATATATCCTGTGCATATAGCACTTCATCTTTTATATCATGAGGTTTTGGCAAAAAAAAAATAAAAAAATAACTGCGCGCCCATATAGTTTCAATAAACTTTATAACCTGTAAGTTAATGAAAACGTAATGCGATGCACTTACTGCCTCAGATGCAACCGTTCTAATGATGGACAAAACACATATTGCTGTCATTCGTCATTGTCAGAACAGCCGGCATTGTGGTCTACTCTACCAGGATCAGGAAACAGTCCTCCATAAAATGTGCTGCACACATCTGAATATTTGGGTTGAACTGTTCTGGAACAGTGTTGTAAATACAACTTAACCACTGATTTCTAGTCGTGTCCTCTTTTGGAAGGCCAAACAAAGTAGTTTTGCTTTCACAACGAAACACACAGCGTCACACACGGCGGGCTAGAGAACGGCGCGGCCGGCAGGCTTGAGTGAGGAACGGCCGGCGGGCTTGAGAACGGCGCAGCCGGCGGATTCGACGAAGGAGCGGCCGGCGGGCTTGCAGCAACCACATGTGACGATCCCGGGCTGGACTCCGCTCCCCGGATATCGTCCTCTTTTGGAAGGCCAAACAAAGTAGTTTCGCTTTCACAACGAAACACAGCATCTTTACGACATGGCGGCAACAACAATACTACAGCGAGAATGAAAGTTACGCCTTCTTTCTTTGCGTGAACATTTGGGCGGCGTTATGCAAATCTTCCCACATCGTGACGTAGACATGTGGGGGCGTGTTAGAACGATCCGTTTTAGGTAGGCGTGGTTGACTCTTAACTTTTATAAAGAATATCTCTTTGGATTTGAGACTTTAGTCTTTGCAACTTTACAGATCTTCTTTATGCACCAAGAGCTTGTAACACTCCAAAGAGAAAGGAAAAATTGAAATCGCATCATATGACCCCTTTAAATGTGAGTACTACTTTTGATATAATATCCAGTTTTAATATGCCATTTGGAGCAATGTATGTTTGTGCAATTTTGCTATATTTCAGTGCTTAGTGGTGTGCCATGGGACTTTTTACTTATCAAAACTGTGCCATGGCTAAAAAAAAGTTTGGGAAACACTGAACTATCTCATGGTAAATGCACATCGAAATACATAGTGGGGTCAAAATGCTAGAGACCGCCATTGAAAATGTTTTCTTTTTGTATTTTTCTAATTGCATACATTTTTATTACAAATTATATTATTTATTATGCTATCTAGTACTACATTTTTTTAGGTATAAATAAAAAAAAAAAAAATTTTAAATGATGTCTCAGACTTTTGGACCCCACTATACAGTATGTCACGATTCAATACATTGCGATGAACCATGATATAATAATCTGAAATGTCACTTTTGTCCTTGACAAAATGGATTATTGGATGTCAGAAGTAGGTTTGTTTTGGTAGGTATGAAAACAATTAATTTTTTGTGACATTTACATTATATTTCCAGTCAATTGTGATGACTGGATAAGGATTTTTTAAAATGGTTTTGATTTAGACCAACTAGCTAATTAATCATTCAAACCGATTTGTCAACCCATTTGATGCTTATAATAAAATGACTCCAAAGAAAGATTTTCTCATAAATCATTATGACTTATGAGCAAATATTAGAGCAAAGCACAACTATGTAGAAAAATATACATCACTAAATCATTAGTATAATTTATAAAGGATCATGTGACACTGAAGTCTGAAGTAATGGCTGCTGAAAATTCAGCTTTGCCACCACAAGAATAAATTACAGTTTAAAATATAATAAAAAAATTATTTTAAATTGGAATAATATTTCACAATATTACAGTTTTTACCTTTTAATCAAATAAACACAGCCTATCCTCTAAGTGTTTCCTTCAAAATGCAAAGCTATGATCCTGTAAGGTTAAAAAAAGACAGTCTGTGATGTACTGCCTGAGATGTGTGGTACATACCTTGCGGGGTTGGGTGTACAGCAGATGGGCATCCTCGGGGACTGGAGCAGTGAAGGGATGGTGGGCAGCCTCAAGCATCTCTGGATTATCCTCTTTGGGTAAGAAGAGGGGAAAGTCCACCACCCACAAGAAGTGAAAGACAGATGGGTCACGAACAGGCACACCGTAGCTCTCAAGCAGCTCCACGCACTGCAGTCTCAGCTTCCCCAACAGAGGGCGCTAAAACATGATGCATTCTATTATACAGGTGCATCTCAATAAATTATAATGTCGTGGAAAAGTTCATTTATTTCAGTAATTCATTCCACGACATTCTAACTTATTGAGATGCACCTGTATAGCTAAATAGTGAAGCATTGCAAGAAATCATCAGGACAGAAAGAGGGAATGGGTTCAGACTCAAACCTGCAACACCACAATGGCTTTAACTTAACCTTTTATGTGATTTTGTAATTTTTTTAATATATTTTTATCAGTGATGTATAGTAACAAAGTACAAATACTTCGTTACGGTACTTAAGTACAGTTTTATCTGTACTTTACTCGAGTATAAATATCTGTACTTTACTCGAGTATAAATATTTTTGCTGACGTTTACTTTACTATATATTAAAGGAAAAAATGATACTTTTACTCTGATACATTTCTCCTGAACCTTTCGTTACATTTGCGACTGCAAAGTGCAAAAAATTGAAAGCAATCTTTGCTGATCGGTCATAGCGATATCTAGCTCGTGAATGAATCTTTTGATTCAATTCATATTGTAATTCTTTCTTAATTCTCTTGCTTAAAACAAAATAAATATTTTTTAAAAATCGGCAATCCTATCAGAATTGGCTCATTCGCTTGTAAAAAAAAAAACGGCAATCAGAATCGGCCATGAAAAATCAAGATCAGTGCATCTCTACTGGACATCTTTGACCATCGTGCCTCACTTTGTTCTACTGTCCTACAAAAAAAATGTATGTGAACAATCCCTTTAACTCATATATAATGTATCCTATACATATATCTATATATTATATAATATATTTCTAGACTCTCAGTTAGGTTGACTGATACAATCAGCTGTGACATTATGTATAAAATGTACTTGTACTTGTGATACTTAAGTTGTTTTAATATCAGTTACTTTAAAATTTTTACTTAAGTGTTTTACTATGAGCAACTTTATATTTTACTTGAGTCAATTTCCATAAAGGTATTTGTACTTTTACTGAAGTATGACAATTGGATACTTTATACAACACTGATTTTTATATAGCTTACATTTTTATTTTTTTTATTTCAGTTTATTTTAGTGCTTCAACTTATACTTAATTTCAGTTAGTTGTCAGAGCAACATTTCTGATTTTTAAGTATTTCATATAATGTTTATATTTATATTAGTTTGATTTCAATTACTTAAATGAAGTTTTAGTTAATGACAACAGTTTTTTGGATAACACTTTAGTTATAGGGACCAATTCTCACTACTAACTAGTTGCTAGTTATTTTGGACCCTGCTGACTTTCATTGTAAGTACAAAAACTGTTCCACATTCTTTGAAATATCTTCTATTTTGTTTCACGTAAGAAAGAAGGACATACAGGTTTGGACCAACATGAGGAAATGATGAAAGGTAAGGAAATTATGAAAGTTTGAACTTTTTGGTTTGAACTATCCCTTTAACATACATAAAAAGGTTATGAATGTTTCAGAATAAGAAACAGGACATTCAGGATTGCCTTAGAAAGGACATGTTCTGAGGAGCTACAGATCATTTGGGAATCACTTGTAACCTTGGATTAGTCATTTTAAATTTTTGACTACAACTATTTTTATTAATTCATGAAACAGCCAAAAATTACCCCACATGAGGCTTTTACAATACACGTATTTGAGGGCAGGAACATGCAAATGAAATCCCAAATCTCTAAAGCTATATTTGTGGAGAAAGATCTCCCCCAGTTCTTATTTCTCCCACTTAGCACTAGCAACATCACCATTCATCCCACAACCTCAGCTCACAAAGCTCGCCAGTTATCCCTAGCCATCTCTCACATCTCTGCTTTGTGATTAAACAGCCGTCTCACTTTGTGCCAAGCTCACCATCTGCACCAGCCCCGAGCGAGAGCTGAGGCATGGAAAAGATGAATATTCTTTTAAAAGTGATTAGATCATGTCAGCAATCTTCTTAAGTCATATTTTCCAAAAACCCTTATCAATCACTGTAGGGCATAAAAACTGATGGGAAGGTACATGAGGACATTAAACAGGGACGCTGGGCATTGAATTATTTACTCCAACTGAAAATGTCTTCATGTAACTTGAGGTCCACCTGTAGTTTTTTGTAGATATTTGCTCCCTGAGCTCTCATGATGTTTTCATGAGACTGAATCAGCATGGTTGTATGAATCTGTGAAGATGTGGAACAAAATGGAAGCGGACACACACCACGTTCTCCCGGGGTCCGGCTGTGATGAAGATCAGGTCTCCAGCATTGGCCTGGGCCATCTGGAGCAGCTGCTGTTTGGCCGTGTCCGAAAGCAGCCGGCTGAGAGGGGATTTCAGTGAACCATCTGCCCTTACTGGAACCACACTCACCTCCTGTACAACACACAGTGCAAACGCAGCAATGATCATCCATTTCCTCCACCGGCCCATATTCAATTTCCATTGACAGCATAGGGCACAAACTCTTGAGCAATCATCAGCCTCGAGAACACTGCGGGCTGGTTTCCCAGACACAAACAAAGCCAAGACCTGGACTAAAACGGATAGCAATGGAGAATCACCTTTGACGGTGCCATTTAGTTCAAGCCAAAAGCACTAGCTCAAAGTTCACTTTCCATTTATAAATACAGACAGAAGACAATATAGACTAGAGTGTTTGGAGTGGGAAAACTAAGCAGAACAGTCGGCTATCAGAAGTATTAAAGAAAATGTGTTTTTTTTTTAGATTTCTTTTTGGACTTTTTATTTTATTTTATTGGATAGTAGAGATTTGACAGGGTGGAATGTGAGAGGTGGACGGCACTGGAATGTAAAACGAGCCAGAACTTGAATTTGGGTCGCCCAAACCGAACCACTGAATTCATTAAAAGGCTTGACTACACTGGTCGTTCTGTATGACTTTGATTCACCAAAAAGAAACGACTCATAAGCTGTTATGAGTCTGAATTAGCTGTTCAGGAGTCAGACTACACTGGTTGTGCTATATGTTTTTATTAATAACAAAGCAATGACAAATCATTCATTTGGGAATCGGTTGGTCAACTCTGCTCATGCTGTATGGTTCTAATTCCCCAAAAATAAACGACTCAAAAATAATTTGTTTGGGAATCAGTTGATTTACAAAAAACAAATAACTTAAAAGGTCCATTCATTTTGGGAACTGAACTACACTGGTTACGCTATATGTGACCCTGGACCCTGTGTCTTAAGTCGCTTGGGTATATTTTTAGCAATAGCCAAAAAAACATTGTATGGGTCAAAATTATAGGTTTTTCTTTTATGCCAAAATCATTAGGATATTAAGTAAAGATAATGTTCCATTAAGATATTTTGTAAATTTCCTACCGAAAATATATCAAAACTTACATTTTGATTAGTAATATGCATTGCTAAGAACTTAATTTGGACAAATTTAAAGGCGATTTTCTCAGTATTTTGATTTTTTTGCACCCTCAGATTCCAGATTTTCAAATAGTTGTATCTCGGCCAAATATTGTCTCCTATCCTAAGAAACCGTACATCAATGGAAAGCTTATTTATTCAGCTTTCAGATGGTGTATAAATCTCAATTTCAAAAAATTGACCCTTATGACTGGTTTTGTGGTCCAGGGTCACATATGTTTCAAAAATTTAATTCTGTCATCATTTTATCACCTTCATGTTGTTCCAAACCCATATGACTTACAGTAATCTGTAAAACACAAAGAAAAATATTCTGAATTTGACTATCTGATTTTTTGTCCATACAAGGAAATTTAATGGGGTCCAAAACACCATTGCACCCATTTGACTTCCAGTGTATGCAAGTTTGGAATGATATGAGGGTGACAAAATTATTACAACTTTCATTTTTGGGTGAACTCTCCCAATATTTAGGGACAGTTCCCTCATTATGAACAATATTAATATAGATTGTTTGCCTTTGCAGCACCACTAACAAGAGCAGACTGAGGCAAGAGGCAAATTAGTATTCGTTTTTAACTCGTTACAATGCATCTAACATGAATTAACATGAAAAATGGATCAAACAATTTTATATGATATGAATCATTACAAGCCATAAATTAGATATGTACTACATATGGTGTGGAGACCACCACACCATATGTACACATATTACATTCCCTTTGTAAGACTCCATGGACGGCCTACAACACAAATAGGGAGCTGTGTCCCTCTAGTGAGGTCGATCTTGCCTCAGGGTAAGTATGCTGTGTGTTACATTTGACTGTTTTACCACCAAATCATCCTGACTTATTGATTACTTTTCAAATAAATATTTCAGGAGACTTCCAGTAATGTGCGCACACTGAATGCTGGTGGCGTTTCATCAGCAAACAAAGGAAGAAAGACTCACAACTCACCTGACCATACTGTGTCTTGGCTGCTTGTTTCAGGAACTCTAAGTCTTTGCCCTTCAGGTATTTCTGCGGAAGAAATGCCACACACAGTTAGCTTCAACTGCTTCAGAGGTAGTATAAGGGGGAGAAGACGGACCACTCTTAGATATACAGTATGAATGGGAGAAACTGTAATGCACAACACATGCAGTTAATTTTCAATAAAAGTCTAAATAGAATAAAGACCATGTGAATTACATCATTGATTATGCTGCTCATTGATTTCCCATATAATAAGTTAAATAATTTTAATAAGTTAAAAGGAGTTAATAAGTTAAAAGGAGCACATTTCTGGTTTGGTGACTCCTTGAAGGGCAAGAATATGAATTCTAAGGAATATAAAAAGAATTTTAATCTTATCAATACTAATTTGTTAGTGATTAATTCCGTTCTTTTGAGCTGCAAATGAAATTCATTTAATACTGAGTTTACTAATGTGGCAAATTATTTCATTGATTGATACATTCATTCAGCCCATAATAATTATTAGTCTGAAAACCAGGCTACACTGATTGTGTTGTCAGTTTTAAATCACTAGAAAGAGCTGCTTGAAAAGATTAATTTGTTTGGAAATCAGACTACACTGACTACGCTGTAGATTCAGTTGTGGTGTTGGGACATAAGAATGAGAATCTCCAGATTCTGTCCTTACCGTTCCTTCTGGGACGCAGATGGCCTGAATGCAGCCACTCGGTTTAAGAAGTGCATCTTTGATGAACTCGATTTGCGATTCCTGGAATGCTGTGGTGACATCCACAAGCTGAATAAAAGAAAACACTTCAGAATTAACTTGTGGAGTTTTGCCACTCAGTCGACAACTATCACATCAGGACACAAAGGGAATATAAATTTATTATTAAGACAATTTGTGTAAATTTAGTTGTGTCTTGTGGAATATATGTAAATATATATATATATATAAAAAAAAAAAATTATAATAAAACTTAAAAAATTATAAAAAACATGTAATTAAAACAAATGCATACACTGCCATTCAAAGGTTTGGAGTAAAAAAAGACCAAGCATGCATTTATTTGATCAAAATACAGTAAAAAAAAACAATATTGTGAAATATCATTACAATTTTAAATAACTTTCCTACTTTTATATATTTAAAATGTAATTTATTCCTGTGCTGTCAAAGCTGAATTTTCAGCAGCCATTACTCCAGCCTTCAGTGTCACATGATCCATCGAAAATCATTCTAATATGCTGATTTGGTGCTCAAGACACTTTTTATTATTAGCAATGCTGAAAACAGTTGTGCTGCTTAAATATATTATGTTGGAACCAGTAATACTTTTTTCAGGATTATTTGATGAATAGAAATTTCAAAAGAACAGCATTTATTTGAAATATAATTTTTTTGCAACATTATAAATGCTTTTACTGTCACTTCTGATCAATTTAATTTATTAATAAATTATTAATTTCTTAAAAAAAAAAATGACTGACCCCAAACTTTTGAATGGTTGTGTATTTAACATTTATCTCTTATTTATCGAAATGCTAAAACAACACAGATTCAGCAAAAGGCTCTGTAAATCTATGAGCAGAACTGAACGCATTCAGGACGCACACAAGTGCAAGAAAACGTATCACGAGGGATTCATTTTTAATTGTTGAGCACCGCATGAAATTCTGTGATGTGTGGGGAAACAGGATGCCAGCACAGCGTGACGCCAAGGACGGCCAGCATGCAAACAACCTCATTGATGTCTTGCGTCCAATCTAGGATGATGTGTACAAAGAAAGAACATGCGGTCACCTTCATCCCAAATCTAGTGTCTGGTTTGTCAACTCCATAGTCTCTTATGGCTTCCTCATAAGTCATGGAGGGAAAAGGAACATTAATCTGTCCTTTGTCCTCTGGCCAGGAGTAATGGACCAAGCCTTCAATCAAACTCATGACTCCCGCCTGGTCTACAAAGGATATTTCAATATCCACCTAGGAGATGTGTCAACAAAAAAGAGAGAAATGAGCGAAAATGCTTTGTTCACACTGCACATGAATATGATTTGTTTTTCAAATTTGATCCTTTTGCTCAGACGGTGTATAAAATGTGATTTTAATTGGATTTCAAATTAATTTTGAACGCAGTTTGGATCAGGTTTTAGATGTCATGTGTTTTTTTGCAATTCAAAACATTGACAACTAATCGGATTTGACACAAATGCACCAAAAAAGGAAAAAAGTTCAGATTTTTGCTGCCTGTCTGAACAGAAGCGAAATGGTCTTTTGGGGTTCATGATTTTTAGTCTGAGTGAGAATCCTGCAAAGCCTGTTAGCAGCTCTCACTCTCACGAGTGGAAGTTAGAGCGAGCCACATCATTAGCACAATCAATATTCATCTGCATCAAAATCGAGCCCCAGTTTCACAGATATTGTCAGACATGCTGCGGCATCATTACCTGTGTGAATTCAGGCTGTCTGTCAGGCTTGGAGCCCTCGTCTCTGTAGCAGCGAGCGAGCTGAAAGTACCTGAGATTGCAGGAGATAACCAGCAAGTGAGTGACTGTGGACCAATACTGACTGACATTTTTAAATCATGCATAGCATATCATTTTCCTTTGACAGACTTTTCATTAAAAATAGCCTGCAGTCCTGGCTTAGCGCAACTACTAATTCAAAGAAATGTGCTGCCAAAATTGAAATTAAAATGAGACTATTGTGGCCATTATCATTTATCAAACTCTAATAGAAACTAGACTTTTGCATTTTCTGAACAAAATGAGAGAGGTGCTTACCTGTGCAAAAATGTCAACACAATACTAGTGTGTTCTGAGTGGTTGCCCACCCTCTCTCACACTTTTGTTCACCTGGTTTTGCTTCAACTTTATTTCACAAAAGAAATCTCTTTTTAAGTATTTAAAGGTGCACTCAGAATAATACTATAATATTTATAATTAAAAAATAAAAAAATAATATACACTACCATTCAAACATTTGGGGTCAGTAAGATTCTTCAATGATTCTGAAAGAAGTTTATGCTGCTCAGGAAGGCTTTAAAAACAGTAAAATAAAAATAAAAACTTTAAAACTCTGATATACTGTGAAATATTATTATGATGGCAAGTCTGAATTTTCAGAAGCCATTACTCCAGTCTTCAGTGTCAAATGAAAATAAAAATCTTACTGCCCCAAACCTTTGAACAGTATATTTATATAGTATATTTATAATTATTTAAAAAAATGTTGCATTACAAATAAAATGGGAAATCATAACAGGGGAACCCATATTGGTTATTGGTCGATATTAGAGATTTTTTATTTATCAGCTGACCTCGGATATTTTATTGTACATGTTCATTTCCTCTACGTTTACATTTATATGATATCTGCCATCATCTCACACTCACTTAAAGAGTTGAGTTTAAAATGATCATATAATTAGGTCCTGTGAAATCTGACAATTCTTTAATGTTAACTACTCTTACTATTTTAACTCTAGACCCCTTTAATACACATACATTGTAAGCAAAGTTAAACATGTCAGCAGCAACCCACACAGTGACTGATGTGCTGATACCACCTCACAATTCGAAATTATTAGAAAAAATGAGAAAAAATCTTCAAAAAGCGGCTAGAATTCAAAGCAGCATTCTAATCCGTATCAGGCAGTAAACTCCACATACATGTCACTGTTTTGGCATTTTGCACAGCATTAGAATAAATGCAGTTCTGCACAATTCAGAGCTGCTAACATCTAAGACTAATACTTATTCCGAGAGTGTGTTGGCCAACAGTGTGTAGCTTTGTTTTCAAGGTGCTGTCAGTCAGTGAAGGCAGAGTTTAGTGAACATGCCAAGCATCTGACAACAATCTGTGAATATGAAGGAAAGGAAGGAAGAAAATATGCTTTTTACCGGTCTATGCCAGCCACCATAAGAAGCTGTTTGAACTGCTGTGGGCTCTGTGGAAGAGAGTAGAACTTCCCAGGGTCTCCAGATGGCACCACAAACTCTTTGGCACCCTGAGAAACACAGTTACACTTGAATAAACTCTGTGTATTCCTGCCTCTCACAGAGAACTGAATCAGCCAGCATATCTCAAGCCAATCTGATAAATGAAAGTCACATTATGAAATACAAAAGAGAGAAGCAAAAATAAATTAGCACAGTTCAGGGGGAGGAAAAAAAAAAAACATGCAAAATATAAAAAAATGTAAAACACCTCAATGGCTTCCAATGATTTGTCTATGTATCAATGCAACTTAATACCTTTCTATCTATCTATCTATCTATCTATCTATCTATCTATCTATCTATCTATGTATCCATCCATCCATCCAACCATCCATCCACCCACACATCCTTCTATCTATTCACCCATCCATCCATCCATTAAAAAATAGATGGGTTTTGTATACAGAGAAGTCCTCCTACATAAGATAGATGGTTATTCAACACCTACAACTGTAAAAATCCGATGGGTCATTTAGCAGACATTGTAACATTCCAGATGATCATCTGCCCCCTACTGACCACCTTGTTGTACCATAGACTTTTCCGCAGCTGTACTTGTACTATTTGGAAGGCAGTTTTTAATGATGCACCGAAATGAATTTATGTAGCCAAAAGTACTGAATTTTTTAGAAATAAATAACAAGTCTAATAATAGTATAATTATGAAGTGATTTCACTAACGTCAATTTGTGTGACTTTACAAAAACATATAGGCTCAAACCATTTTTAAAATATTGTTTAAATTAAGCGACAACAGTATAGAAAAAACACTGCAGTTATGTATATGTCAATGGTGGAAAATGCAATTGTTTTTAAGTGTGTCAATCACACATTGTGCATGAATGTAAAAAAAAATGCTTTCAATTACCGATATCATTGTATAAATTCATTATTCTCACTCAGCCTTGATTAATTTATTAAGCAAACTGAAGTGTCCAGTAACAGCGGGGTTACCAAGATAAAGTGAGTAGCATTCAGACGCTCATACATATGTATCAAAGCTTTAAAAGTTTTAAAAGACCATTCGCTGAAAACAGATGTAAAAGTTCTTAGAACAACAAAGCCAGAGGGAACAAACCAGAGTGATGTGATTGCTCAGAATTGTTTTTGGGTAATGATCTGACAATATTTCGTACCAGCTGTATTTTGTTGATGTTTGGGCAAGCCTTACAGGGGTTTCTTGCAGGAGACAAGAGACAGAAGCATAGAAGCATTGTGTAGCGTAAAATAAACTCTCATAAATTCAACCTTTCTGCAATTACAAAATGTTTTTATGCTTAGTGTGTCAAGCTACATTCTGCACAATACATCCTCTACATTCTTTGGATTTGGCTCAGTAAGTATTAGATTTGTTTTGTGTTTTTTTTATGAGTGAAAGATTGGAAGTTTAATAAAGTTATCAAATAAATAAACACTCATGCCACGTTTCTGAATTCCTGAAGATTTGGAGTGCATATGAATAGCAAGCACATATTATATATGAATATATTTTTCTTAACAATTCCATATTGATTAAATGTGCAGAGCAACATGGGATAGATTCCTATGAAACAAAAAATAGTGTGTATCTGAATTAGCATCTTGCATTATATTTCGGTTATAAGAATGACACTTGATTTATACAGAAAAAAATATTTACCCCTGGTGTTCTCTTAAACAGTGTTGGTGTTTCCACATCCACGAATCCTTGGGGAAAGACAGGTAATGTCCAGTGAGTTTTGTAGTACATGAACAGATGTATGTACAAGCATGAATATACCACTGTAAATCCTCACTATGCAAATTGCAAAGGTACTCCCTCATTTTCATCACCATTTGTGATCTCAGTCTTAAATTGTACTGCATCCTGGGTGACCGAAGATCAAGATAGCGATACTGCATCCGGAGGGCTTCAGATTTCTTCAAGGCGAACAAAAGAATTAAAATTAAACATATCAGGGATTTTTTTTTATCCAACTTGGACAACAAGTGTTACTCTGTGAACCTCATAACTTCATATACATAAAGAAAAGAACATCCATCTGCAATGAAATTCATTGGCTATTGCACAGCAAATGACATATCACAAACACTGTCAAGAAACACTCCAAGGTCATAATTCATATTTTTAAGCCAATTAAGATTTTTTTCATTGTGACATCATTTCCATGACACTGAATCAAAGATCCTGTCCTTGTCCCTGCAAGATAACGGATAAAAAGTAACAACAAATAGTTAAATAATTGTATAATTTTACAATAAATAAATTAAAAAATGCATACATAAATAAATACTGTTTTTTTTTTACTTTCTATTCATTAAAGAATCCTGAAAAAAATGTTCTAAGAAATTTAATGTAATAAGATGTAATAAGAAATGTTTCTTGAGCACCAAATCAGCATATTAGAATCATGAAAGATCATGTGACACTGAAGACTGGAGTAATAGCTGCTGAATATTCAGCTTTCATCAGAAGAATAAATTACATTTTAAAATATATGAATATAAAAACAGTCATTTTAATTTGTAATAATATTTTACAATATTACTGTTTTTGATAAAAAAAATAAAAAATAAATAAAAAACTTTAAAATAAATTTAAAAGAACCCAAAATTTTGAATGGTATCTTTTTTTTTTTCCTTTTGATTTTGTAGTGAAATATGACCTTGTTATGTTCTTTATGAGATTTACTGAAGAACTACTGTAAGCAAAACTAGAACTACTTCATAATGCAAATTTAATGCATGCAACACTTTTTTATATAGTCTAAAAAAAATATTTTTACTTACTTTGACAAATTCTTTAATTTCAAATGGCAGCTTTCGACAGGTATTCAACACTTCCATGCTCTCAGCACAGACCTCGATTTCTCCTGTGGACATTTTCTAATATTGAATAAAAATTACAAATGAACACATATTTCACACTGACCTGTAAAGTGTCAAACTTTTCTCTTTATTGTGCATATGAACAGACATAGCAACCTTATTCTCCTGTCCCTCTGGTCTACACCTGACCCTTCCTTTAACCATGATGACCGACTCCACAGTGAGACCAAGAAAAGCATTCTTCAGTTCTGATTTGGACTAAAGAAATAAAGTGTCAAAGAAAAATATACAGTAATGGTGAAAACACGTTACTGCAACAAATTAACTAACATAAGTGGGTAAGCACCAGAATTAAATGATCAGACACAGAATAGGAAAGCAATAAAAGCGTGCTGCTACCTCATCCTGTGGGATAAGAATTTGCACCAATCCACTGAAGTCTCTCAAGATCACAAAAAGATCTTGCCTAAACAGCCAAGTACAGATATGTTGATCTGATATAGTGATGTGGCTCAAGTGAATTTTTGAAAGAGTAAACATTGTGTCTCAAACCTCAAGTACTGAATCCAGCCACATAAAGTAACCTCTTCATCTACATGACTGGAGCACAATTCTCCACACGTGTGGCTTCTCAATGAAAAACTGCTTTGACCTACAAGACACAAAAAGATATCACACTGAAACGACCGAAAGGGGCTATTACAAATACACTGTCAAGTTTAATGAAGGTCACATTACCTGATGAGTAAGTAGAGCAGCTTCTGGAGATGTTATAAGCCCATGCTAACGAATTTGGAGGTAAAGATGGTTTTGTGGAATAAATATGATTGATGGAAGGTACTGCTCTTCTGCTATACAGACACCTCAACACCTGCTGGGTTGATCTAAACAAAAAGAATCTGTATTTGTTTGCCATTGTCCTGAATGCGGGGTCGTGGTGTATCTGGCTAAAAATGATTCTTTCTTGTCTTTAACAAATGAAAAGATACTTCTCAGAGCTGTTACTTCACACAACTGTGTATGTTTTGTTTATGTCCCCTATGTGTACGCAAGTCTAGAGCTATATATCCAGTTACATTATTGCAGTGAATGTGACACTGACGGTCACCTGTTTTTCTTTCCTTTCCTTAACTAATTCGGTCTACACATAATACAGACACCTATAAAATTTGCCTCGCATGGCATATAAAAATAACTGAACTAAATTCAAAACCTTAATCCAGATGAATTTTCACTGACATTCTGAATCGTGAAAGTTGTGAACTGCATCCGTGTGCTGCAGCTTTAACATGACTAATCAAACAAGAACTAATCGATTTAATCTTTTGTAACATGACAATAAACAACTTTTATTATTTTTATGTACCATAATTTGGTTATTATTACTATAATTGGTAATTTAATCTGTCAACACCATTTATTTATCCTGGTAAGTATGATCTAGAGTCGACTAAATGTAGAAATATATGATACATATTTCTCTTGGTAGCAGCAATCGATTAGTATTCCTGACCCGCACCGTTGCACGATGGGAAAACGGGATGTTCAAGTCCTCTTCCTGCTTTTTTTTTTTTTGTGGCTCGGTGTGTTTTTGTTCATCATGGAGGGGAGAGGAAGGTACGACAGATTTAATATTTTTAACTTCTTTTAAAACGTTTTGTCGCGCAGAATTCTTATTTGAAACACAACACGTTTGCGCGTCTCGCTTAATACAACGATAATGGATCATGCAGTGGTTTAGCAAACTAATAGTAGCGGTTGTCTGAACTGTTGTCTTTTGTTTGCTGATCAAGTGGTTTGTTTAAATGCTTTATAACTTCAATATTTAGTGTATTTTAAGCATATAACATAGTTTATTCATTAACACAGAAGTTACTGACTGTTGTTGGTTCCATTAGTAGTAGAGTCGTTATTAATAACCATAACGTTATCTGTTGCTTGTATTACCCATGCAGTGCCGTCAATACTCCCGCCAGCAGACCTGTTACTCGTAGAAGCAAAAGTTATGGTCGGAGTTGTGTAGAGGCATCCTCATATTTCTGGCAAACACCAGGACATTTAGCAGTCTTGAAGATCCCAACCAGTAGAGGGACTGCCAAATCACAAACAATCACTGTAAGGGATCATAGAAATGACTCGTTCAGTATATCTCAATATGCTGGTACTGATATAGACTGGCTTGAGTGTCAAATGTCTTTATTCTTTCTACAGAATAAGGTTGACCCTGAGCATATTGCTCTTCTGGTAAAAAATGAGTGGAAGCTGTCCTTCATCACCCCTTTGCATCACTTCAGACATACACAGCTGAAATCATATTCCAAACATCTTTCAGCCTTCATTGTAGCAGAGAAACAGCACGGAGTTGCAGTTGAAGTCGGGCTAGAAGCAGGATTTAAGGTCACGTTTATTGCAGTTCTTGGATTGGCTGAGACCGATGAGGATGCTGAGACTGTTTTCATTCAGGTAAGCCTGAATAGGTTGTCTTTTTTTTTTTTTTTTTAAAGAAATATACTTTTATTCAGTAAGAATGCATTAAATTGACCGAAAGTAAATATAATTTATAATTATAATTTTAGAAAAGATTTCTGTTTTAAATAAATGCTTTTCTTTTTGTACTTTCTATTCATCAATTAATCCTGAAAAAAAATGCATCGTTTCCACAAAAATAAAAATATTAAGGAGCATACCAGTTTTATAATAATTAAAAGTAATTATTGAGCACCAAATCAGCATATTGGAATGATTTCTAAAGGATCACATGAAAAGTTTGGGATCAGAAGGTTTTTTTTTTTTAATCATTAAAGATTCATTCAATTTGGTGACAGTAGATACTGTATATTGACATTGCTACAAAAAGTTGCTTTGAACTTCCTATTCATCAAAGAATCCTGGAAAAAAAATACTTAATACAATAATATTAAGCAGCACAACTGTTTTCAACATTGATAATAATAAGAAATGTTTCTTGAGCACCAAATCAGCATAGTAGAATGATTTCTGAAAAATGATATGACACTGAAGATTGGAGTAACGGCTGCTGAAGATTCAGCTTTTGAACAGTAGTTTATAAATATGCCACATTTATGTTCATTTTTCTCTTATTCCCTCAGATCCAGTCCAAACCAGTATTTGCTGCAGTGGCAGATGCACCGAAAGTTGTCTGGCGCGGTTGGCTCACATGTGTCAATGGTGATCCGGAGTACCTAAGGTCACTGCCTCCGGATTTTATCAGCTTACCTCTGTTTTGCACGAGTGGACCGGAGTCTCTTACAACCCTGGTTAAATCTTGGTTCGAGAGGGCTTTTGATTGCAACTTTGGTTCTTTGGCTTTAAACTCCACCACTCTCAATTGGCTGGCTGCTCTGTGGACTGGTTGCCATCCCACCTGCAATATCAGGCATCTGAAACTGGCCTGGAGCCTTCCGACACAGCCACCCCTGGATGTCTCGTATACAGTTAACCCACGGGATGCGTGGGAACTCTGGAACAGCATTCACCCAGAGGAGAGTACAGATGACCTGATCGACATTAAAGAGGTCCAGTCTTTCATCAACGGGCTGGAGACTCATTTTTTCAGACACTTTAAGATCTACCTGTCTGCTGGCACACTTGTAAAAGTATCTACCGTTCTGGGATCAGCACATCTTGATGGGAAAATCAAGGTAATTGTTATGTGTCAGTGTCATATCTATTCATTGTTTATACAGCGTGTGCTGCATTGCATCTATAATTGTTATAGCTTGATTTTTCTCTTTCAGATCGGAAACAGTGACTACATCACCACCTTACTTACCCTGCTGACAGAATGTGCTCTTTTGAAAATGGCAACCTAAAATCTGCTTCCTACTTTAGATTTGTAAATGCATTTTTGGTTTGTTGGGTTTTTTTTTTTTTTATTTCTATGCCATCTAAACTTTTATATCTTTTAAAGCTTGGCGTCTCATATTTATTTTTTTGTGCTGTAAAATGTCTGTTTGTTTTCCAGCTTTTAAAATTGAACTTTTTATTCTGTTTTCAGATGCCTGTTTTCTTTTCTTTAACTTACTAGAGTTTTATCAAGACAAATAACATTAGATCAGTCCATAAGGCTTATATTAATGTGATACAACTCATTTATCACAAATAAATCTGATTATCAACTGTGTAAATTTATCCCAACTACATGTATAGGTTCTTAATTTAGTTCACACAAATAGGCATTAGTATGTCTATTAGTATATTGTAACATGTTTATATTTTATACAAACATTTTGAACCCTTTAAAGTATGTAAATCACTTAGGGATATTTGTTATCTTTACACAATGAATAGTGGCTTGATTTTGGTTGTTTAGATGTGTTTTGATTCAGGGCCTCTGAAATTTTCTGATTACGTTTTACTAGCAGTGCCAACAATGTCAGAATCGAACAATCTAAATATATAACATTTTACAAAGCATGTAGGTAGAACTGGCAAGCAGAAGTCTGTTCTAATGTTAGCTTGGATTTTAAAAGATCGGTTTCTTATTTTGTAATTTATTTAAATCGACTGTGTTGTTGCATATTACTTTCTTTAATTTGCACTCAAAACATCTTTCATTAAAACATTTACATCAGAAAAGGACCTAAGATGTGCATAACAACGTATTTGAATAGTTACCTTTCGTCTCTCAATAAAGCACAAATCTAAGTAGAATTTTTTTTATTTATATTTTAACATATCTCCAAATTCGTTCAAGGAAAAATTGGACATTTAGATTCGAGTCTAAATCAGTGGTTCTCAAGCAGGAGGCTACAAGATGACTTAAAATTATTTAAAATAAGTTATATGCTTAAGTTAAATGCTAAAAATTACTATAAAGCATGTTAAATGTGAAGAACAGAGTCCTTGGAATTGATTTAATTACAAAAATCACTGTTATTCCTATTGTATCTATTGACACTCCTAGTTTCAATTCAAAATTTTTTTAAAAAACAAGCTGCTTTGTCATCATTACAGCAGAAGTACCAGAGAAAATATTGTCTTGAACAATGGGGGGCCTCAGAGTCAAGAAGGTTGAGAACCACTGATCTAAACCTCATGGAAAAGGTTGATCAACTATAAACACAATTTCAATATTGACTGCAAACATCTGGACTACTTTTCTTTGGATATTTTATTTACACTTTCAAAGTTTTGAAATGTATTGACAGTTGAACATCTTTAAAATTAAATAAGATAAGATCATGGAAGATATACTTTATGTAACCGTATTTCAACACCAAGATTAGAACACGTACCTGTCCTGTGGGAAGAAAAAAAAAACTTCATTTAAAAAAATAAATAAATAAAATGTAAGGGCAGTTGTAACATTTCAAAGAGATTCATCCCATATTCAGTAACAAGCTTAACATTACATTTCTGACCATACATGCAGGCTACTACTGCAAACCTGTTTGTTCTTAAATTTCAGATTATGAAAAATCTATTTTTATCTTGGGTCCTCATACTTGCATAAAATAATACATCCAACAAGATAAAACAAAATACAAACTTTAATAGAAAAGATAGAGTGGATTAAAGTGCATGGACTGATTCATTGATGCATTCGGTTGTATAAAAGTAAACAAATTGATATGTCAAACCTGTTTTTGACTGCTTCATTAGATTGCAATGTTTCAGGAGGGACTGCATTTTCAGTACACCAAAGAAAGAGAAAACACATCAACTAATCTGCTTACATCTGGTAAAAATGCAGAAGAACAGTTAATGCTCAGTGTACAGCTCTGTTCAAACCTAAACTTAAAGAAATGGTAAAGATATCACAGTGCATCCAATTCAGACTAGAACATCAATCAGGGAAACATTTGCTCATAAGAACGAGCGTCATTCACACCAATCCCCAGCGACGTGCGTTTCAGGTTACTGTAGTTATTCTTCAATGCAGTCAAACAGACCAACAGAAGTCTAGTTCCTTCCAGAAAAACAAACGCTCTGGCTGATGCTTTTCCAGCTGCTGTTTCTCTCTTCGAAACACTGCCTTTGGCTATTCTCAAGTATGAAAGAGAAACCAAATGTAAAAACCAAATGGAGTGATGTTCTATGGCCAGGTGAGCCTCCTCAGAGCAGATTCAGGAGATGGTATACCTTTGCCATCTCAGTAACTGGAGACAATACTCAGTTTTTAACAGGCTTTCCTCTTGCATGATGTGCAATGTCTCTATGAGGCACAAGCTATGGTGAGGCATCTGTGAGATGGATACTGTAGGTGTTACCATATATGTGATTCACAGTGAGTCATTTTTATCACACCAACGCCACCTCCCAACCTCCTGTAGTTCATTCCACCATATAGCCTTAAAAAAAAACAATCATAAAAATCATACAATTAGCAACTGGAAAATAATATATAACATGATTCAATATAAATAACTTTAAAATTTTGTAAAAATGTTTTGTCTCTTACAAAACTGCTCATCAAGGCTGCATTTATTTGATCAAATATTTTAAAATGTAATTTATTCCTGCGATAGCACATCAGAATTTTCAGCAGCCATTACTCAAGTCCTTCAGAAATCATTCTGATATGATTAGGCACTCAAAAAACATTCATATTATTACTATCAATGTTGAAAACTTTGTTTCAACAAGTTGTGCTGCTTAAAGGGGTCATATGATGCGATTTAAATGTTTCCTTTCTCTTTGGAGTGTTACAAGCTCTTGGTGCATAAAGTATGCAATTTTTTCTAGGATTTGATGAATAGAAAGTTCAAAAGAACAATTTATTTGAAATGTAATTTTTTTTTGTAACAATGTAAAAGTCTTTCCTTTCACCTTTGATCAATGTAATGCATCCTTGCTGAATAAATTTATTACTTTCTTAAAAATAAAAAAATAAAAAAAAGTGTACATCTCTGCCACCCACAGAGTAGATCATGTCCTGGTATACGGCACAGCCCAGGTGTTTCCGACGGGTACCCATGGGTGCCACTGTATGCCAGCGGTTCTCTTGAGGGTTAAACCGCTCCACTGCCAACAAAATCACTGTTAATAAACATTCTGCATCTTCTTAATAATATGACATTCAGCAATCAACACTATCAAACTATTCAAACATTTGGAGTCGGTAAGATTTTTTATGTTTTTGAAAAAAAGTCTTATGCTCACCAAGGCTGCATTTATTTGATTAAAAATACAAAACAGTAACATAGTGAAATGTTATTACTATTTTAATACATTTTAATTTTTTGTAATTTATTGCTGTTAGTAAAAGCTGAATTTTCAGCAGTCTTTAGTGTCACAAGATCCATAGGAAATCATTCTAATATGCTGATCTGCCTCTTAAGAAACATTTCTTATTTTCAATGTTTGATGTCTTGTCAATATTTTTGTGGAAATCGACATACATTTTACAGGATTCTTTGATGAACAGAAAGTTCAAAAGAACAACATTTATTTGAAATAGAAATATTTTGT